TTGAATTCCATATAGTAGAATAGTAAAAAAATCATAGTATAAGATGTGAAGACAAATCTACTAGTTTATTGTTTGATAATATCAAAAAAATTTTTATTTTAATTAAGGAGCTTTTTATGTTTATAGGTTCTGATTTATTCTTGAAGGTACTCAATTCAGTCGTTGTAGTCGGACTTTATTATGGATTTCTTACCACATTTTCAATAAGGTCCTCTTATTTATTCTTTGTGCGAACTCTGGTTCTGGAAAAAGAAACAAATACAAATAATAAGGTAGCAGCAACCACTGGTTTTATTATGGGACAGCTCATGAGATTCGTATCCATCTATTATGCGCCCTTTTATCTAGCTTTGGGTAGACCTCATACAATAACTGTCCTTGCTTTACCTTATCTTTTGATTCAGCTTTTCTTGAACACTGAAAAAAAAAATTTTGCTTATGGATCTAATAACCAAAATTCGATCCGTGAGCTAGAGAATATCTTTGTATTCCTCAATCATCTTATTTTTCAGTTGCTTAACACTTGCATTTTACCAAGTTCAACGTTAGCCCGATTAGTAAGCATTTATCTGTTTCGCTGTAATAATAAGATGTTGTTTGTAACAAGCAGTTTGTTTGCTTGGGAATGGGACAAATTTTAGTCATAAATTGCTTGGAATTTTTAGCAGTCTGGATACAGAAAAATAATGTTATTAGGTCGATCATTCGAAAGTACCTAGTGAGAAATTCTATATTTTTTATTTTAGTAAATTATAGTTTTGGAACTCTAGTATGTATTCTAAGTATTCAGTCTTTAGGCAGAACACCCTTACCTATTCCTACTCAGAAATTTAGTGAGGTCTCAAAAATAGAACAAAGGGAAAAGGAAAGGTTGCAAAGGGAGGAAGAAAAAGACGTAGAAAAAAAAAAGAAATCCGCTGAAAAAGATCCTTCCCTTTTTTCCGAAGAAAAAGGTATTTTGGAAAAAGAATTGGACTTGAAGGTAAATGAACCAGACTTGGAAGGGTCTGATTCCGAATTGGAAATCCTTGAAAAAAATGAAAATAAAGAACATATTGTGGCTCTTCTTTTTGATTATAAAAGATGGACTCGCCCATTTCGTTACATAAAAAATAATAGACTTGAACAAGCTGTAAGAAACGAAATGGCACAATATTTCTTTGACATACATAAAAGTGATGGAAAAGATAGAATATCTTTTACCCATCCGATAAGTTTATCAACGTTTTTTCAAATAATCAAAACAAAGATACCCCTTTTGTCACTAGAAAAAGATATTTCTAATACATTGGACAATTTTTGGGTTTCTAGAAACAAACAAAAATTAAATTCTATAAAAATTGATTTGCTAAATCGAATTAAAAATCTTGACAAACCAGTAGCAGTTCCAATAATCGAAATTGAAACAAACAAAACGCGATTATGTATACACAATGATGAGACTAGAAAAGAATACTTACCAGAAAAGTATGATCCCTTGTTAAATGGGCCTTCCCGCGGAAGAATAAAAAAAGATATCACGTCGATAAACGATACTTCGATCAAAAAGTTGAGAGAGAAGGTTATGCTAAATAGACTTCATGCTTTATTGTTGATGTCTACTTTTGAAAAAAAGGAAAAAAAAACCATTACAAGTTGGTGAGTTCTCAACTTTATCATCAAGTTTCAATTTAACGGATTCAGAACAACTAACAAAATTTTTAGTAAATGCAATTGAGACAGACGATAAAAAATCTTCTGCAATAGAAAAAATAGGTAAAGAAGAAATTGGTAAAAAAGTCCCCCGATGGTCATACAAATTAATAACTGAATTGGAACAAATATCGTATTTTACAAATCCACCAGATGATCATGATATTCGTTCAAGAAAAGGGATCAGTGTATTAATTTTTGAAGAACCTAAGACTCTCAAAGATAAGACTACAAACAAAGATAAGAATACAAAAGATACAAATATTCAAGCTATAAAATCCGACGATAATGAGAAAGATAAAAATATTAAAAAGAAAAAGGAAGATGAGGATAATAAGCTTTTTTTATTACGATATCCGCACCAATCTGATTTTCGCCAAGGCTTAATAAAAGACTCTATGCGAACTCAAAGACGTAAAATAGTTATTGAGGGACTTTTTAAAGCAAATGCGCATTCCCCTCTTTTTTTTTGACAGGATGAGGAAAAAAACCCTTTTTTTCTCTACCATACCTGGCTCAACTGAAACGGCTTTTTAGAAAATGGTCATCCATAAAAGAGTTTGGGATTTTAGAATCTACAGAGGAAAAAAAAATAATAATAAAAAGAGAAACCAAAAAGGAAAAAAAAACGACGAGAGGAAATAGAACGGTTAGAGATAGGGGAAGCCTGGGAGACTTTTCCATATACCCAAATAATAAGAGGTTTTTTATTAATAACCCAATCAATTCTCAGAAAAAAGATTCTATTACCTTCATTCATAATCGGTAAAAATATCGGGCGTATGCTACTATTTCAAACTCCTGAATG